ATCCCCGAAACGGGTACCCTCAAAGAGACATGTGTTCGAAGAAAACGGGGGGTGTAACCGACAAACCAGCCAGAGCCTGGTACCTTTAGGGAACCGAAAGGAGGTTTGGTAAATCTGGATACCAACTAAAGGGCACATCAACGACCAAATGTATTTTGACAAATCCTTGTATGGTTCCCCCTTTGAGTCTGCGTTGCAAAACCGCTGAGGAGGGTTCGCGGCCCATCGATGTGGCCAGCAACCCGCAGAGCAAGGACTACCTGATTTGTTGGGATCCGGCGTCCACGGATAGGACGCCGATAGGGGGATGTACCATTTGCTTCGTCTGTCAGGTCTGGAAGGTTGCAAATGCCAGGGAACCCAACCTTGTAGTTTCAAAAAAATAAATAAACATGTGTCCAGGATCAAAGGTGATAAGATGAAGGCGGCCAAGAATGCGGAGAAGGAAGAGAGGGCCAAGTTCACACGGCAGCAGCAAGAACTCACTGATTCTCTCGAGGAGTCTGAGCGGAAGATGCAAGTTTCCAAAAGCGAGCTCTGCAGAGTCAGGAGACGCCGTCAAAATCAGAGGGTTGCACGCTGGCCATTTCAGCGGGAGAAAGGACGCCACCCCATACACGCATGAACTTGTCAGGGGTCGGTGCACGAACTTGTCAGCGATAATGTCCTGCTCCCTCAAGTTTGCGTGGGTGTTCCAGAATAGGGGGAGCCAGGGGAGTCCCAAAATGGGTTGTTTCCTTTTGGTCTCCCTTTGAAAAAACCCACCAAGGTGGTTTCAGCATTGTGTGCCCTTGCAGGAAGCTATTATCCGACTACCGGCAGCAGAAGGTGTCCCTGGTCGAGCAGGGCGCCCCAAACGCGGCCGAAAAGCTGGCGGAGCTGGAGCCGCTCATCGAGGGAGCGGAGGCCCAGGTGAAGCTCTACGAGAACTCCATGCACGAGTGGAACTGGAAGGTCTCGCGGGCCAGGCTGAAGATGAGCGACCTGGAGCAGGACGCGTTTTGGGGCAAGGAAGAGAACTAAAAGCAAAGGGACAGCACGCAGGGAAAAGGAAACAAAACCAGGGCACCACTGCAAACAATGCAAAACGCAGTTGCAGGGGCCCGCAAAAAGTTTTGTTTCTTGGACATAGCAAGCTTGGAGACACCTCCCGAGCCTCAAGATGGTTTCTCTGTTTCTCTCGGTATCTGGTTGGAAACGGAGCGACGGATGGCGAGGCGCGGAAGGAGAAGGAGGAGAAGGCGGCGGGGAAGTTCCGGGGCTTCCGGGTGGAGCTGGAGGTGGGGGCCGGGGAGCTGGAGTCCTTGCTGCCGCACCTGGGCAAACAGCTGGAGGTCCTGGCCGACTTCACCTGCAAGGAGGTGGGCTCCGTTGGGGTCAGTGAGCTGAAAGGAAAGACGAAAAACACATTTTGGGAGAAGCCCCGCTTTTTTTCGACGCGTACCCGAACTGTAGTCTTTTCATGATGTTTCGCTTTTCAATAGTGCGGGACAAGGATCATCAACCTCACTCAAGAAAGAGACTCGCGCCTGTCCAGCAGAGGGACCATTTCCAATTGCGCAAGCGTGGCCATTTTAGGTAGTTCTACTGCCTGGTTTCATTGCGTTTATGGTTTTAGGGGCAAAGGTACGGCCTGTATCCGCTCAGATCCAGGGGTCCTGCCTTTTTGCAATTTAAAGATTAGCCTCCTTTAGGTCGGGCACAGAACGCCCCTGTGGTACCACCCGTCCATGGGTGAAGCGGGACCCCTCACCGGGTCACTTGTAAGTCAGGCGAGCGATAATCGCAACCCTATTTAATCATGAAGCTCAGTAAGGAGTCTCCAGGTCAGTAAGGAGTCTCCTCATGTCACTTCGCTAGTTGAGCCACAATCAAAACCTGGGTAGGTGAAGGATATTCCCAACGACCAATCGGTGCGGCAAGGGCGCCTCTTCCTTTGCCATGAGCTTTGGGACCATTTGAGGTTTGGCCAACATTTCCGGGAGTCTCTGGTTCTGGGAGGGCTATGGGGGGAACTCACCAACTGCCAACCACCCAGGGGCGAGCGAAGAGATCTCATTTGCCCGTCTCAGGTGGAGCTGGTGAAGGGGGACACGGTGATCAAGGAGGGCGCCTTCAGCCACCTGAAGCCCAGCGAGTTCAACAAGAAGTTCCTGGAGAGCTACGGCAAGGAACCGGAAGAGGAGGACCGGTGGCTGGGAAGCGCGTTTTGGGTGGGTCAGAGAGGGGGAGCACTGGGGGACTTGCTCCCCCCTGCGAAGAATTTGTGATTGGGAAGGCCGTCGTTTCCACATTTACTCAGGAACGCTGGGTTGTGGCAAGGGGGGGGGTAGACACTGTGATGCCTATGAACATAAAGGGCATTTTCCCTCGGGAGGGGGTTGTGGAGTGGCTTCTTTTTCCTTTCCGTGGGTGAGTGGGCCTGGGGTGGTCGGTTCCCACTTTTTCGCCTGAGAAGAACTGGCCAGGCCGTTTTTCAGTGTCACGAAGTGGCGCGAGGAGCCACCAGAGCCCAAGGAGCCGTTCCCGGTGCTGCTGGGCTTCGCGCGAGGCTTCAGCCGCACGATCCCTATCAAAGCAGTAGCGGACGTGCTGTTGAAGGATGTGGGGGACATGAGGGCGCAGGACGGCAGGCGGAAAGGGGCAAAAGGACAAATGCTAGGGGGTCCAATGACTCCAGGTTTGTCTTGCAGCTTCAAGCAGATTCTGCATTGTGCAGAATGAACCAATCGAAAGGGCATGGGCGATGTCCTGTTCTTCGTCTCAGGATGGTAAACAAAAGTGACAGGGCTCTGTTTTGGAGTTTTTCCGCTCCATTTTTACGCACCATCTCTGGACCCGCAACACTTTCACTGTTAGGCTCTTCTCATTTTGAACAATCTCTGGACCCTTAAAAGTCCACCCCTCATTTTGTAAGGATATTCAAGGACCATTTCTGGACCAAGAATCCATGAGCACAAGGTTCAGGCAACCCGAATTTGTGGTTTGGATGTTGTGGTTCTTGTGGAGGCTGGGGGGTTCCACCTGTGACTTCCGAGCTGATAGGTGGCCCTTTGTGGTGGATACTTCTGGGCGCACCTCCACCTTCATCAAATACACCGGCGCGGCGGTGTACACCATCACGGAGCTCCACGACATGGACGCCCTGAGGCTGCGCCGGGCCTTCTTGAACTCTTTGCTCCACGGGGGCGCCCTGCTCATCGACCTGGGGAGGCTGGGAGGCTGAGATCTTGGGGGTTGGGGGAGCTTAAGGACTCTCAACATGCAGAATGGATGAGTTTGTTTGGGTGTTGGGGTTGGGCTCAACGTTGGACGGAGCACAGAAAGCTGACTGGATGATCGCCCCGCATGTCCTATCCTCCGGGAGCTTGCGGAATGCCAGGTTCGACATGAAGATCGAAGTGGTGGCGGAAAAGTTCAATGACCTGGAGACTTTGTCAGACTTAGCCCTCTCACTGTTGTGTTTCTTTTGAACTTCTTCAGATTTCACTTGTCCATTTGCCCTGCGTAGATTTCGTTGCTCCATTTCCTACTTTAATTGACCATGGACAACTTCTTCCTCCAAATAACGCCTTCTTTTTTTTGCACCCAAAATACGAGAAACACGCGCAAAACAAAACACACAATGCTTCCTCATGGATCACTCTGATCTCGTCATTTTGCGAAGTGTCACTGGAAATGGAGGAGAAGGGGCTTTTCGCCAAGCTGTTGGACCGATCGGTGCTGTACAGTTACCTGCTGCCCCGTCGCTTCAAGAGCCTCATCACCAAGGAGTGGTGCTCGGTTCTCGGTTTGGTTTCGGGGATTTGGGAGGGGAATTGGGTTGCCATTTTCTGAGGTACCGAGCGAATGGTCTCTAAAATGAAGTCACGGGGATGAAAATCCCACTTTGGTATCGCAGGGATCTTTGCTGCAAGTGGCAAGAAGGCCTCGAAAGCTTCCATAACATAAGGCTTACAGCCTAGTAAGCCTAGGGGGATCCATGGCACAGCGTAGGTGTAATAGGTGTAAGCTTATGAAACGTGTGGACTTGAAACAAAGTGGAAGGCTCATCTTGTGAGTCTCCCAGTCTGAGGTGCATTTGGCCCTATTGGCGGCATCGTTAACCTCTGGATGCTAACCATTCCAATGGTTTTAGGGGTTATAGTAAGGCCGGCATAAACCTTCAGATCCATGTCGGTACAGGGGTCCTCTTAGGTCAGGTAAGTTTAAACAGCACCTTTTTGGCAATTGAACGATTAGGCTCCCTTTGGTGGGTGAAGCGGGACCCCTCACCTGGTCACTTGTAAGTCAGGCGAGCGACAATCGAAACCCTATTTAATCGTGAAGGTCAGTAAGGAGTCTCCTCATGTCACTTTGGTAGTTAAGCCATAGGGGGTGCGCAAAAGGAGAACAAGGGTCCAACAAGGGGCGCCGAGTGGGGTTCCGTTTTGAGCTTCCGGTCGGCCTCTTGAGACGACTTGTGCATGCCGCCCCGTTTTTTTCCAGGAGCTGGCCAAGGACTTTCAGATCAGCGGCTTCATGGACCACGCGCTGCAGAAGTTCGTCTTCGGCTTCGTGACCTCCTTCCCGGACCCGGACCTGGACTTCGCCAAGCAGTTCTACACCGTCAACGTCCGGAACGAAGAGGACGACTGAGGAACAAAGAGGGAAAGCGCTTAGTCGGCTTAGTGTTCAGCACGGCAGTCTCTCGCAAAACGCGAGGTGGCCGGAAAAGGGGATGGTGCGCGTCCGGCTGTGCAGTGTGAGTTTGTGGCGTGCGGCGGATTTCCTCTTTGCCCGTTTCTTCGGGGAAGCCAACCACAAGCCACAGATTACCAGCAGATTGCGGGCAGAGTGGGACCGGCCCCTGGTTGCAACTACTTTTCCTTTTCCTATTATTTCTTGATAAATTAGCCCTTGAAAGGGAAGCCAAAAGGAGGCTGTTCAAACACTGTTGGCAAAAACCATGGTTGAAACAGTTGGTTCGCCCCCTGGCAGGGGGGAACCCTGTTCCTGAGGCCAGGGCACGCGCAAGCCGGAGCAAGGCAGGCTTTTGTCGGTGAAGTCAAATCGGAAGGGATGTTAAACCCGAGAATTCCAGAGACATGGGTGGGCTTGCTCCTTTTCCCTAACCAACCTGAGAAGGGAAATTACCCTCCACCAAAACACAAACCCAAACAGGAATGTCTAAGAATGGGGGGTCGACCCACTTTCGGATGGTGCCGAAAGCGACACCAAAAGGAAGCCACCCTGAAACATTCAGGGGTCCCTGTGGAAACCACCCGATTTTGGGCCACGAGCGGGTCTCTCATTTTGAGAGCACACTCTAAAGAGGGGAAGCGCAACCAGTGGGTACCCCCATTGAAAGCTAAAGGACCCCTTGCGATGCTGAACCCAGATTACTCCACCTGGCCGAAGGCTTTGAAGAGCTCATCAGCGCGAGCCACATCCACGCGAGCATGGCCCGTCGCTCATAGCACATCTCTCCAGGGAGCACCCAACAAATCGGAGGACTGCAGTTGCTTCTTCATGTCAAGATGGAGCCACTGCCTGCAAGTTGGCCTTTGAAGGGGCTCAATTTTGCCCCTCCCCCTTTCCACCTAATGTCAAACATCCGAGGCGAGCGAGGACAGAGTGGCAGGACCCGGCTTACTGATGGGCTCCAACACGCGGCCACGAATCAGCATGCACGGTTCGTCGCTGCTGATGTTGCAACCGCTTGCTGGGGCTTTGAGGAAGGCATGAGGAATCCCGATTCATGCTCACACATGCACGACCAGCTTCATCATGCGGGAGCACGGTATGCTGCCTCCAAAGGGCCCAGAATTTGCAGCAGCATCTCTAGTCTGATCGTCTTGCAGTTCTGGAATCATGCCACGGTCTTGGATCTAGCCAGCAGGGTGACAGAACATGTGTTTCGGGATGACTGACTTGCGAGGTTCTTGGACCCGATTCCTCAAGGAGACTCAATTTGACTGAGGCTTTGGCATGTTAGTCCTGGCAATTTGGGTGTTTTCAGTTGGCTGGTTTTTGGAAACAATTTGAATGAGAACCCCTGATCACTACTTCGCCCCACCATAAATCAGGGGCTGCCCATGCTTAGCAGGGATTCTGTTTTTCAAAGAGAGCCTGGTCTTAATTTCTTAACTATTCACCAAGCACCTCCAGGGTGCCTCATGTTTTCTTTTTGGGGGGGTGAACCAACCCGTGTGGGCAATTTCCGGCAGGACGGAGCGCACAGATTCAGGCAGGGCTGGCAGAAGTGAAGAAGTGGGGTTGTGTCAGAATGCGACCCTTTGATGGGGAGGCACCATGCCAGCTCACCTTTGGGCACCTTCAGATTTCGAACACTGGTCCAAAGGCCCTCCACCATTCTTTGAGCATCTTTTGATACTTGGCCATGGTTCAAAACCAATGGTACCATTTTGGGATAGGTGCACAACCCATTTTAGTCCATCTTAGTGGGGATTGGGATGTTCTGGCGGTACGGGGTTTTGACCCATGGCCAACACCTTGGGATACTGTTGGATATCGTCTTTTTCTCCCTTCTTCAATTTGGGCAGTTCCTCTCGGGCATTTTGTTTTTAAGCGCACGGCGCTTGGCCGCAGGCCGCGTGGCTGGAGTGTGGCGCGGTGCTGCTGGACGCACTTCGCCTGGCGCTTGGGCAAATGGATCCAGTCTGACGGTTGGTCACCTGGGCGTCCCGCATCGCCATCTGGGTGTGGGTTAAAATTAGGCCACCAGAAAACCGCAGGTTTGAGTCTTTGGCTCCACCAGGGTAACCATTTTGGGTATGTTTGGCCCACAGCCATCCCAACGATCCTTTGGTCCAACATGGATGGCCCCAATCGTTTACGCCCTTGGCATCTCGGGCCCGGAGACCTCGATCGATTGATCGGCCCTGCCAGCTGCCAGGCAGCACGCTGCGCGTGGTGTGCACCAGCAAAACGGCCAACGAAGGCCGGTTCAGACCCGTTGAACGGGGAAGCAACGGGTTCTAGAAGGTTTTCACAGTGGACACTGCGTGTAACACATAAAAGGAACCCAGTTGAGTTGGGACCCATGTGGGATCACCAAATTCGTGTGTGTTTTTCAGCCTTTGGGCTTTTGTGGAGGTTTTGGTTGTGTGAATGTGAGATTCTTCTGTTTGTTCAACGGAAGCCAGAACATCATGCCTCCTCGTGCGCAAATCGTTCGGGCGATTTGGATGGATTCGGAAGGATGGAAAGAGCTGTACCGCTTCGCCCTGAAGCTCGAAGCGTTGGAGACTCGAGCTGGGTTCTGTCATGGACTGTGGGCGTGTCCTGCATTTGACACATGTCTCCCTCGGTGCTTTCTGTCGAGAGAGATTCGCTTAGGTCAGAGCTGAGTGATTTGGTGCTGGCCTACGCAAAACTCTGATTCCAGCAACTCGGTGTTCCTGATTTGTTTTGTTTGCGCGCAGCACATTTGAATTTCGCGTTATTTGCTGGGCTGTACATAGAGTTTCAGGACCTGCATAGCAAGTCAGAGACAGTCTTCGATGTAGAGCCCACTTCCGTGCCTTGTACAGCAGGCAGAAGTTCACCTGTGTTTCACAGATGGTGAAGATAAAGAAGCTGTGGCAAGTAGAGGTTGGTGTCTTGTTCAGAACCTGCAGGTTGGTTTTAGGGAAAGCCGAAGAGTCGAGCACCACCCGTTTTGAGGGTCGCCCTATTTTGACCCATGCCGCCCTATGCCCAAGTGGTGGCTTTCTCGGAGTTGGGGATGAGATATATACCGAGCCGCAGCTCACATGAGCCAGGAACACATTTGGTCGGTGCACAGATGGACGCCGTTTTGGATTGACGCATCAAAGGGCGTCTTAAGATTCGGGAACCTGCGAAATGGCGGTAACCCTCGTGATTCCCTGTACAAACGGGGGTTCCACTCGAAACACCACACACCCATATGTACATATACGAAATTGCGCGCACATGCATCAACAAATGTAGTTGCTCGCAGGCTCTACCAATTTGTCCATCCTAAGCATGAATTGTAGACAAATCCGGCCGTACAATGAGCCAATCGCCGCAGCCAGACGAGAATGAGGCTGGCGGGATCTGGAGATCTGAATGGTTGCAAAGCTGCCTGGACTTTTTACTCAGTAAAGCGAAGCTTAGGTCCCAAAAAGCGCGCAGGCGGGACAGTGCATTGGGAGCTTAGTGGAATCCTCCCAAAACGGCTTCTCTGGAGTTGGGAAAGAGGTGTTAGAGGCAGCCGGCGCCTTGTTGAGAAGGACATGTCAAACATTGAACACCGCCTTCGCTTTCACTGAGCGTCCGAATGCGAGAATGCAAGGGTGCTTTTGTTTTTTTTGGAAACCCACGTTTTGTGATTTATCCAAAGCAATCCGTAGATCTGTTGCCAAACCTCAAACCAACCCCGAACCCCAAAACCAACCCGGAAACTAACCCGAGCCAAACCCCAATCAAGCGATTCATCTCCTTCCTCTTGGTTTCCCCTGGCACCAGGTTCAGGTGGGTCGCCTTGGGGGCCTTTTCGGTCTGCGCCGCTCCCAGCGCCGGGCGCCCAATCGCTGCCTTGCTAGGTAGTGCCTATCCAAGGAAAAACACTACTCAATGCAACCAGGTAAAAGTGGGGGCATTTTTCGGATGTTCTTTGGATTACTTTCCGGGAGAATTGCCCTGGGATGACTGTTAGGCCACTTTTAGATTGCTTTCAGCTATTTTGAAGGATGTTGCTGTCACTGTATCATCTCGAGGTGAATCTACAGGAGCCGCTGAGTCTGGGCACTTGCATTTGCGATCTCACCCAGGCACCTTCGGGCCTTCGGTTCGTTTGAACCGAGCAATCCAAACCCGGGGAAGTGATTTAGCAAGGGGCAATCCCAACGAGGCGTGGCCTTGATTCTTCATATAGACTTCGGTAGCAAAAGGTTTTGCTTGCAACTCACCTGAGGCTCCCAAAACTCCTATTGGCCATGTTACAAGGTGGTTCTACTACCCAGTTTCCTTGAGGGTATAGTCAATCCTATCTATAAGACAATATAGGGGTTCAACCAAACAGGTTGGCGGTCGAAATTAGCCAAAAGGCAGGAGATTCATTAAGTTGGTTGGGGGGTTAGAATCCATTAGAAAGTAAACAGCGGGGGTGAACCAAACAGCTTGTGCCGCGGCTTCCCCCCTCCCGTCTCTGCAGGGCCAGTGCGACATCAACTGTTGCTGCGCCCTGAGACCGCCTCGGTGCACGCGGCGATTCTCTCCATTTTTTTGGGGGATCGGTGGGTTTGCACCTTGCCTCATCCAAAGCTATCCCACTTGAGCTGTGAGTACCAAAACACCAGAGTTCAGCCGCTGAATGGCTTCCACTTGCACGGTCAGTTTCCCGTTGAACCAGCGAAGCAGTCTGAGTCAGCCAGAGGTACGCAAGTCGTGCTTCGGATTTGGTCAGGCTGTGATCCAGACTGTGACAGCCTGGGAACCTTGAAGGACAGCTTCAACTGCCTGCCTGAAGGCGAGTCCCACCCCGTCAGGGCTGAAGGGATCATGAGAACTCCTTCTTTGGGGGTGGTAGCCCATGTGCGGTATGCTAGTCTACCGGAAAGCCATCTAGCTATCTTTCTATCTATCCATCTATCTCTTTGGATATCAGAACTCTACACTCGATTGGGAGCGGGGCCCACTACTTGTAGTCTACGCGGCCCTCAGTTAATTAGAGTTTTGACATCCAGATAAGACTAGGTTGGACCTGATGATGCATCAACTGGGGTGGTTTCATACGGATTTCTCTGTCGCATGGTTCGTTGCCTGGCTCATTTGGTGGAGCTTCTTTGCCTGCCTTTGCCAGGCCCTAGAGATGCAGTCAGTGAGCGGTACTGCTACTCGAAAAGCTGGTTACACAGCGTGAACCCGTGCTGGCCTCGACTTTTGCATAGACCGCGTGGGATGAAACAATTTCAGCTCAGGCGCGTTGACCTTTGGGTCATTACAGATGACCTGCGGGGTCTGCTCTGCGTTTCCGTGGACAACAGCTTCTCGGCTGCACATTTGCATCCAACAGAGGCAATACATGTCTACAGGTTGATGTTTCGAAAACCAGCACCCTGTGAGCTGGCCGTGATGCAAAGGCGCTGTTCAAGGAGAGGTCTTCCAGAATGAGGCGGAATGACCCAGCTAGTTCGGACAGGGATAGCTGACGAGGGTGAAACATGGGGAAGCTTGCAGCTGGCAGCTCTGTGTGGCTTCTATTCCCCATTGTAGCTGCCAAACAGCTGCATCCCCTGCAAGCGCCGGCTCCGGCTGGCGTCACGCGCAGGCCCTTCTGTCGTCTGCCCAGATAGATGCCATCATCCAGGTGGGGTTGCCAGGCAGCTTTTGTCCGTAAAAGCGAGATAGGTCTTCACACAGGGAACTCCTTTTTGGACAGGTCAGGGAGACCAAAGGAAGCTAGCCGCTTGGAGGGTCCCTCAATCTGAGACATCCCAACGAAATCCCATTTGCATGTGTCGTTTTGTCCCTATGCGCGGAGATGAAAAGTGGAAGCCTTCGGCCAGGCCCAGGCGGAGCAACGGTCCACGCAGGAGGGAGTTGGTTTTTGCCTGGTGGAGTTTCAATGGGCGGTTTCCTCGTTTCTGTCTTTGGAGCCATTCCCTGGAGGCGCAGGACGTAGCGCTGCGGAGCTACCTTGCCGGAGACCTCCTGAAGGCCGTGCTGCCAGGGGTTCAGGGGTTGGGGGGCGCAGTCTGTGGCCAAGACCCAGGCCCACTATGCGCTGTCGCCGGGGCAGGGAGCCAGCCACTCGGAAACATGTGTCGACTTTCTAGAACGTGCCGCTCGAGCTGTTGTGGTGGAGAACCACGGCAGGTGCAGCCTGTTCAGGGAGCTGCGACTCTTGAGAACACAGCCTTCGTTGAGGCTGGCACTTTGAGACACACCTTGCCGACACTTTGAAAATGACGTGAGGTGGTGGACTACCTTTTGTTGCCCACAGCCGATCCACTTGGAAACTGTGCTGCGGGTCAAGGTATCAGGCGCTGCGGCCAAGCGCTCCAACATGGTTGTGTGTGGTGGGCCATCAGGTTCCTGAACGCGGTACCCTCGGCGGGTTGCTGGAAGAGGAATCTCGACCTCACCTCCGCCTGCGCTTCTTTGAGCCCCAGGCCGGCTGTTTTTGGGTCGTGCGTTTCTTGGGAAGTTGACATGGTTTCTGCTTCCTGGGCACAGCCTCTGGTCGTTCACCATGAAGCCATAGGCTTTTAAGGCATCAATTTGGGACGAAAACAAAGCACCCAAGCAAAAAGTCCAAAAGTGGACAGGAAAGCGAGGCTTGGTGGGGCTGAGGTGCCCTCACATGGGATTTGCCGGGTTCGCAATCATCCAGTGGAAAGCACTTGCCTTGACGTGCATGTTTGGAGGCTTCTTTTGGGCACCTGGATGTCCCGTCCTGAGCTGGGTATGTGAACGGACTCAAGGACAACCATTGGTTATGTCCCTGGCATGATACGTTTTCTGCTAACTGTCACTCAGATCCAGCGCGGTCGTACTCCTTTTTTGCAGCCAAGAGTGGTACGTCTGAGGCTTCGCAGCCAGCACATGCCGGAGGTGCATCATAGAACAAACCAGTCAGTGTGGCCATTTGGAGGTTTCTCAACAATTTGGTTGGTTTGCCTTTGGTTTTCCCTTCAACTCCAAAAAGGGGATCGCCTATTTTGAGAAACACGAGGACATGCGCTGCGGCAGCCGTTGCATCCTGCCTACCACCTGCCTGGTTCAGCGAGTGGCTGTCTGGTGCTGAGAAAGAGCAGCCGAAAACGGCTGACGTGTGGGAGATCGCCAGGCAGATGGGTCTGTGGTCGCCTTACTCCGCATGCGCGGAAGGACCCCTTTGATGTTTGAGGTCCTGAGGAAAGGAGCTACCGCACATGGCTTCTTGAGTCTGCTCTGCAGGTCACAGCGTTGGCGTCCTGCGACACACCACCAGTTTCAACATTTCAGCAAAGCCAGCGCCTGAACCAGAGTCGACGCGCCTATTTTGCACGCCCCTCAGGTGCCGGATCGTGCACCTGTGCCAACGCCCTCCACTCTGCGTTCCCGTCTCAGCGCTACGCCGCTACGCTTGCCGCTGGCCGCGCAGCGTTTGCACGAGGCACTACAGCTTCAGCTTCGGCTTCGACGAAGCCTCACAGGCGCGCTCCATCTGTCAGGTTGCGGGCGCGCAAGGCAGAAGCTGTTGCAGGTGGTCCGCATCACCAAGGCAGAGGTGAATTTTAGCATCCAAGACCTGGAGAGCCCAGGCGCGCGCCACCGCTGCAATCTTGCAATCTGCTGCTGGAACCATGCAGGCTGCGGGCTGGTGGATGTTCCACAAGAAGGAAGTGTCAGCTTTGTGCAGGCAGCGGTTTGCGGTTCCGTACCTGCCGCTGCCCTGCAGACCCCATAAACACCAAGCCTTGCCCAGGATGCCACAAGTCAGCCTGAGGCAGGATTCCTTGAGAGCTGGTGGGCCTTGTGACTCTAGAGCTGGATCGACTTTGAGGCGAGATCTGGCAATCCTGGCTACGTCGTGGGCTTGCACATTCCTGAGCCGACCACGATGGTTTTCAGGTCAAAACTCGAACAGCTGCAAGCTTCAGCCATCACCGGTACCTTTATTGGCGGTGCTATTTTGCGAACAATAGCTTCAGTTTCCTATCATGTCGCGATCATATTCGATTTGAAAGCTTACCAAGCAATGCATAAGCACCCAAATCAGACCCAAACTTATCCTGAGCGCCGTCAGCCATCCCTAAAGTCCAACCTGAACCACCGCAAAACCCAGCCCAGATCGCGCTGAAGAACCCTAACAAGAACCATTTCAGGCCCCATACCACCCAATTCCATCCACTGTTCGCGCTGAACAGCCTGCTTCAGCTTACACCTTACACCAACCCTGAACCCACAGAATATGCTTCAATCCCAACCCCACTCTGAGCCGAGCCTACACGTTGGCCATCCTCAATTTTCCGTTCAGACTTAGCTCTGAGGCCGCTCCTTGTCACCGACTGCCTCACCACTGAAGCTGGGAGCTGCACGCAGTACGGGCAGCGCCGGGATGCCAGCGTGCCGGGGATTCTGCCCGGAGGCCAGTGCCCGAACGAAAGTCCAAGGAGCGCAAGGCATTTTGACCCCAGAGTTCCATTGATTCGCTTGCCCCAGCAACTCCGCGTGCCGCCCTATGAAGCCACGTGCAGCGCTGTCCACCCCCAGAGGAACAGAGGGCAAGTCCTCCTCCATGAGGGAATTCGTGAAAAAGAGGACACCCACAGCCTTTCCGGGCTTGACTTGGGCAAATTTGGAAGCCTCCTCAGAAAGCCATCCTATATTTCACAAGTTCTCAGCTGCCGACAATGAATTTTGAGAACACCGAGCCACGGATCACCTTAATCCAGGCATTAGGTTCCACGAAAAGTGGATGCCCTCGGTTTGCGTCTTGGGGATTTCTGATCGCAGGCGGCTGCCAGCTGACGAGTGCCAATGCCTCCACCCGCGAGGCTCGGTTTTCAGGAATCTGGACACCCGGGCGCTTGGATGGCCGCTGGCACTGGGTCCAAACCAACGGTACCATGTTGGGGTAGGTGAATTCACCACCCATTTGAGTCTATTTTAGTGGGGATTGGGATGACCCATGGCCAGATGTTCGACCCTTACATTTGGCCATCCTTCTCTCGCTCGCGTTCCGCGGTGAGGTGAAGATCAACTTTGGCGAAGACGCGATCTTCGGCCGGGCGAGGCTTGGCCCTGCAGAAAGAAACCGCGCCTTCCGCGCAGGGTGCTCCTTGTCGCTCACGCGGGAAGAGCTGGCTGCTTTGTGCGGAGGCGCGGGACGGCTTGCCGAACAGGGATCCCACCGCGGTTTAGAAAAATCCAGGACTTTGACTTTTGGTGGTGGGTCTCTTCATCAAAAGTGTGCAACGCGGATGTCACTGCAATGCGCCCATCTAACGAAATGCCGCGGGGAGCGAGAGAGCGTGCAGGCCTGCCCAATGGCTTCGCAGGCGCCAGCTGACCCAAGTTGTGGGGTTTGTTTTGGGTCCTGACGAAGAGTCCTCTTTTGGAATACAATGGTAACTTGGTTGGTTCAATAACTCTTCCACTGAGGGGTGTAGGCTTGCCTGAGGCTATTGGCCAATTTCGGACTATGTCAGTCCAAGAATCGTGTGCTCAAGTACAACCTTTGGACACACATACACACATACACCTCCCTTCCCCCGAGTCATTGCCGTGTGGGTCATTCATGGGTGTGGGCCCGCAGGCTATTTGGAGATGCTTCCGCTTGGCTTGGGACTGAGAAGTTTCCAAGCGACCCGCTTTGGGCTCGGCAACATTTTGTGCCTTTGCGCTATCCCTGGTCAAGGGCACCCTCCGAATGGTTCGGTGAACGAATAAACATATCCATCTGGAGAGGGACAGGGCGAACACGAAAGTTCAGCTGCATAATCTGAATTCGCAACATGTGACTCTCATGTGAAAGCTACCTCCACAAAGCAGCCCTACTTCTGGAGCCGGATTCATGTCAGCTTTCCTTCAACATGAATCGACCAATGCAAGTGGCCCAGCCCGTTTTGACACATCCCTCCCACATCCGAGGGTCATTTCTGGTTTGGGCCATTTTCCTCAGGAAGCGACTGCCACCAGGTTCCTGACGTGGCTGCGATTCATTTTACTCAACAAGTCAGTAAAGACTACACATGTCACACCATCTGGCGCGAAACCGGGTCGAAGCCAAGGTCGAGTTGCGCGGTTTGTGTTTAGGCCGCGCTTAACCACAAAACGGGTTTTTCTTTGGGTGTTCTTGGTTGCCCTTTGGGCCAGCCCAACCCTTGGTGAGACTTTCAACTGCAGGGCGCTGGGCGTACCTCGCCGCCTTCGGCAGCGTGCCGTTGGGCGCCCAAGACGCCGCGGACTTCGTGGAAGTGGAGCAAAGGCCCAGGACGGAGAGACTCGCGGATCGCGGCTCTGGGGCGCTAAGGGGACCTGTGGGTGCTGTTGGATTGCAAAGGTTTTGTTTCACTAATTCTCCTGGGTCTTGGTTGGAGTTCTGCAAGCGAGAAAGGAGACTGTTGCCATTTACGTTTTTTGCTCCGCTCGCCGGGCTCACATGACGGGCGAGTCAGCGTCTCCTGGCTGCTGAGCACCCAAACACAGGAAGTGCAGGCAGCTGTCCGAAGGCTCACATGATGATGGTGCTTTTGCAGCTTCCGTCTCGAGAGGATCGGCAGTTGGCAGATTTCCAGATGGGAGCGGTCCTTGTTCTCAGCCTGCGCAGCCTACGCGCACTCCTCCGCCAGTCCTTTGGTTGAATTCGGGGATCGCATAACAAACAGACGAAGTCATCCTGTTTGAATGCACCGCTTTTTCGGGGACTGCATTTTGCCAAATCCTTGGGGAAACAACAACTGCCGGAAAGGTGTTGTAGATTTGCTTTATCCCGTAGCGACAGGTAAGGAGACCAACTTCAGCTAGGGCCAAACACAGGTTCCCCATGGAGTTGTTTGCGTAGCTTCGTTTTGCCTTATTTGGGCTCAAGGTGGAAGGCCGCAGTCGCGTCGGGGTTTCCCGATGTCCGGAGACGCGCCGGGTCATTGGCTGGGCGCCTACATGGAGAGATATGGCCAGCTGCCCACGGCTGATCAGCTTTGTGCCTTTGCACGGCACCAGGCTGGTCGTTATTTTGACCTCGACTAGCCCACTGTTTGGGTGACTTTCGTAAGTCATGGGCGCGTCTTTCTTCAGGGGTGCTGGTTTTCCTTTTGGTTTCCCTGTCGAAAACGACAAAACACAGGCACCCTCAAAAGAGTCACACCTTGTCGTGGAGCCAGCCAGGGGGGGCGCGTGGTGTACAGACTCGCGAGCTCCCTCCTGGCAAAAGGTGAGGCGGAGTTGGAGAGAACTCTGACCAGGGCCAGCAGCTGGTCCGTGAAGCTCGAAGACCGGGCCGGCTTGGCAGCTCGGCTCTTCGCCGTGCTCGGTTTTGTATATATATATAATTATATATATATATATATACACATGTATGTATGTAACTTTTGTAGGGTTGGTCAAAACGTATGTTTGGTGGATTTGTGTGGGGTTCTCACCAAATTGGGCCAACTGGTTGCGAGGGAAACGAAAAGGACCGCCCATGTCTCCAACCCGAGTCCACAGTTCCGTCCGAGGAGAGGTGGACCGTACCAGTTCTGCAGCGATTCAAGTCCGAGAAGTGCGAAAGGAACCCGCGGCCTCATGAGCCGAAGGTCGCAGCGTGCAGAACAAGAGTGTCCAGAAGCCTTGTGAGGCAAGTCCTGGCGATGTCTTACCGCAGGTTTGCAGAGAAGGAGGCGAAGGCCAAGACCGTTGAGAGCTTCGGGATGAGTGCGGACCACTCGCTCCGCGACGCCATGGAGAGATGTTCGGTATGCCTGGAGCATCGCAGTTGCTTCCGTGCGACCGGTGATTGCGAGGACCGGGCCTGCCCGGGCTGGTTTTGCCAGGCGGGGTGGTGTCGGTTTCAAAGCAGACTACATTGGACTCGCAACCGCCTTTTTGACCCATTTTGGCAGGGCTCCTTAAAAGATACATTTTCCCCATTTGAAACATGGCTTTTTTCACCAAAATATTGGGACACCTCCATTTACAAGGCAATGTTCAGGTGTATAATGTAAGGATCCCTGTGTCAAAAGAGACACATTTAGGCCTGCTTCCAGAAGCACGTGGCCACGGTGATCGAAGGCACGCGCTTCTCGGTGCCTGTGGTGAAGTGCCCGGGCTGCTTTGGCTTTGTGTCCCCCTCTTGCTGGCAGCGATTGGTGGGTGAAGACCTCAAGGACATGTGTCAAAATGGTGAATTTGCAGAGCTGCAATCACCTCTGTGATTGGACATTGTTCCCCACCAAATTTTGCTGTCCGCCAACGCGAGGGGGGACCCCCAAAGCGCATTTTTTCCTTTGTTTTCCCTGGCCAGCCTCTGAAGGGAGTCTTCGCAAAGCACCAGGAGATGTGGGCCGACAATGCCAAAGACCTGCTTTCCCTACGCTGCGGAGAGTGTGATGACCCGGGCACATTGCTCGAGCCGGGGATAGAGGAGGCAGCGTTCTCGCGGGGGGAAGCCCTGGAGCTTGCCTTTTCAACGGTGAGCCAAGCTGATTCTGTGGAACTTGCGAGCCAGTGGGACAGATTCGCGAAAGGCGAGGAAAGTGCAGGGGCCATATTGGCCACCCTGGTGAATGTTTGGTGCCCAGATGAAGCAGATCACCCGCCCATAAGCTTCTTCAAGAGCTTTGGCGCGGCAATGAGTTTGGTGGAGGATCCTGGACTCCGTGCAGTCATACAGTTGGCAGCACTGCGGCGCTTTCCAAAGACGGTGACCAAATGTTGCGAAGCAGAGCATTGTTTCAAGTGCAAAGTCGCAACCCACCACGAAGGCTTGACCTGTGAAGAGGTGCAGGAGAGGTTGATGCCAGAAGACGTGCAGTTTTGCCCAAGCTGCGGGGTGGCAACGATCAAGTCAGAAGGCTGCAATCACATAATCTGCCTTTGTGGACAAGACTGGACCTGGGAAGGAGAAGAGGTTTGGGCAGCAGAATGGAATGAGTAACACTTATAGCCCAAAGAATCTCACCTCAACCTTTCTGGCGGCAGTTCATCTGTTTCGAGGTCTTATGCTGGCCTGTGCCAGCTTGATCGTCGGACAGAGCAAGTCTTATAGACCCCGTGCGAATCAGAACTCGCGCGGGACACTTTCAAGAACCTCTTGTGTACAGCCCTGAATTGCGAAAACTCGACTCCGCGCGGAGTGCAAGGCTTGGGCTTACGCCCGCATTGCTCAGTTTTCCCGCCTTTGCTTCCAGGACCGAAGCCCTGCAATTCAGCGACTCCACTGCACAGGCCATAGTCTTGGCGTGACAGAACAAGGGACCCCTGTGTTTCAGGCTTCCCTCTATATTTCCCCTTTGGGTTGGTCTAAACTAAACATCACCTTCTGAGCCAGCTTAACACGAGCTTGTTTGTGGTGGGGTGTTTAAGGATAAAATAGAGGGCACCCTGTTTCATCTCAGGGAAGTTGAGCAGCTCGTGCATTTCAGAGCAGTCCTCAGATCTAGCAGACCTTGCGGCTTCTTCCACGGACTGTTTTGCAGGTAGCCAGCTATGCGGCTATGCGCATTCCAATTTTTCGAGACAGGGGACCCTGTGCAACCGCAGGCGTCCAACTCAACATGCACTGGCGCTGTGGTCGGGGTTGACCTGGAGGCTCATGGGAGGTTGCCAAACGCGGATACCCCAAAGCGTGAATGGCGAGAGGGTCTGCGCATAAGAGGTTCTGCGCATAGGTTTGGGTTGAGACAATCTTGCATGGCTGTGGGTCAAAACCAATGGTTACCATTTTGGGGTAGGTGCACCACCCATTTGAGTCTATTTTAGTGGGGATTGGGATGTTCACTGGGGGTTCGGGATTTTGACCTACAGCCACATGTGTAATTTCTAGACAGTTTGGCAAACTGAGTAGAACTGGTTGCCTTTGATATGTTCCGAGGGCTTGCACACGTCACAGGCAGAGCTAATCAACGCGCGGGAGTCCCCCAAACAAACCCGGACGTGCATATAAGCCAGCCGGCCAAACCAACTAACCAACGAGCCAACCAAGGGGGACCTCAAACTTGTGCATTCAAAAAGCATGATAGGATAGTGGCCGCCTTTTCAGCTCTGGGTTTTATGTCGCAAGCTGTTTCAAGGGTTCCAAAATGAGGGTCTCTGTCAAAATGAGTGGTTTCTTGTTGGTTTCAATCGCCAATCACGGCCGATTTGGAGACATTTCGAGGTGATCTACTCGCCCTTCGGCGAGGTGAGCAATCCACAGTTCAAGATTGTGGGTGCTCGAGCGTCCCAGCGGTCTCGCCCCCAGCTCGGTCCAGATGTCCACCTCCGGCGCGATGTTGTTGGTTCAACCCCCGGCTTGGGGGCGGCAAGCCCAAACTTTCCCATGTCCAACGCGGCCTCGGCATATTGATGGCTTAGTTGCGGCATTGGCACAGCCAAGGCGGGTAAGAAGTTGAAGCGAGCTCATGCAAAGAGATGGTTGGCGCCTCGTTTGTTTGGTTAAAGGAAAGCACATCCTTTTCAAAAAGGGCCCTAGTTCGGACACAGCCAATGAAGGTACGGACTGGTACAGTTGGTGGATTGTATGACTTTGTACAAATGCTACAAGCAGAATTTTATGTCTACCTAGAAGATCCCTAGGTGACTCATCCCTTGGGGAATCCTTCGCTTGGCGACCACCCGCTTCGTGATCATATTCCTTCAACCTTCGTGAGACTCCCCGAAAGCCAAAGCCTGATCCTACCTCAAGAGTGGGACAGCTCGGGCAATTCGCAACAAGCGGAAGGCAATTGGGTACATTTGCCGACTGCAGTTTCGCGTGAACCGTCAAGGGAGCCTTCAGAGGTCCAAGCGGGGTTGTGTTGGCTTAGGGTACCCGTTTTGGCAGGACACCAGAACAAAGCCACCCATTTCAGACAATGGGTTCCTCTATTTTGACCCACACCCAAATGCGCATGGCTTGTCGTTTGCACCTCAGGCTTGGCGTGCTCAGCTACCAGCTGGATTCTCCAAGGCTCGCACGTGGGTCGCATGTGTTCCTTCCAGGCAGTGGCTTGCTTTCTTACATTCCTACGTTCGTGTTCCATGTGGGGTGGTGGTTTTTGGTATTGTGTGTGTGTGTGTGTTGGTGTGGACCCATTTTTGATGGGCTGTCACGGCGAAGCAAGAGGATGCAAGCCCAATTGCTGCCTGATCAGAGCAATTTTCTGGCTCGGTGATTAGAGATGGTCATCGACCATTTGATGGCCCCTTGAGGCAGAAGAATGCGGGCGAGCCAGGATGGGTACATGAACGGTCCATCCCGTTTGATTCTTCACCTGGTGTTGCGTAGACTGTTTTGACTGGCTTGAGAAGGATTTTGGAATGGTCTCTCCGGATACCATCGATTCGCTTTGGAGGCAGCCGTTCCAGTTCACCTACACGGTGCGAGCCCCGGACGCCTGTGTCAGCTTGCATCCGGGGCCCACAGCAACACCGTCTCCGCCTCATCCTCATCCTCATCAGTATCAGCCTCATCAAGATTATGCTCATCATTGTCACTCGCATCATCCTCATCCTCATCCTCATCCTCAATAACAACATCTTTATCATTATTCTCATTCATCCTCATCCTCGTCCTTCTCCTCATCCTCATCGTCGTCCTTCTTATGCGCATCCTGATCTTACTCATTCTCATCATCCTCCGCTTCTTGTTCATCCTCCTGCTTCTCCTGATTTTCTGCTTCTCCTCCTGCACCTCCTCCTCCTCCATTGGAGGTCGCTCCCCGAGCTCTCATGTCCTGCCGGAAGGAGTATTGGCCATCTCATTCAGGCTGCAAGCGGTCATCATGAACAGCCTGTGTTTCGGAGCCCATGGCATGGGATGAAAGACAAAAGTGAGGGGTCCAAGTGCAAAGCTTGAGGCTGGAAAAACCAGGGATCCGAGATCCTGTTGAGTATTTTTATTAGTCTGCCAAACCACCCGAATCTATCTGAGGTGACTTTCCTGCAGACAGGTTCCGAGAATCTGGAGACGAAGGCGGGCTCGGTGACAAATCGGTCTCGCTGATACCATGCGCAGGGTGTCAGAAGTCTCAGGTACCGCCGAGGCCACAGCTGCCACTGTCTTTGCCCCCCGACCTCTTCTATCCCTTCACCATCGGCCAGAGTCTTATGAACATGTATGCAAAGACCCTAGTTTGGAAATTGTATTATTGTCCGAATAAAGCGCACATATTTTCTGGGGTATTATAGATAATTATTGCTATTATCATCCACCACCACCGCCGCCGCCACCACCACCACCATCACAACAACAACCAAAATAGAACCACAAACACAACCACAAGAACAACAACAACAACAACAGCAGCAGCAGCAGCAGCAGCAGCAGCAACAACAACAACAACAAGAACAACAAGGTATCCGCGTGTTTCGCCGCCGTGAAAGGTCGGCGATTTTGCGAAAGGGCTCAAACCAGTCATCAAAGTACAACGTTCCCAAATCACTGGCAGGCGCAAGGAAAACTAGCAATTGCTTCAACCAATCATGTCAATGCAACTCTGAAAACCATGGCCTGCGTGGCTAAAAATGCACTTTCAACACAGCAAGAAGCATGCAAACCCTTCAAAACAATGGTATTCGTGGCACATTCTGCACTTGCTCACAAAAGGCAGTTTCTACGCCTCTTGTTTGAAAAACTTCGACTCTTGGCCCACATGGCTCCAAAGAGCTCGCTTTCGAGATCTTTGTGCATGCTGGCCAGACTTGTATACACGTGAACGATGATGCGCGTGGACGGGAACGTTAACATTTGGCCAGACTTGTATACACGTGAACGATGATGCGCGTGGACGGGAACGTTAACATTTGGCCAGACTTGTATACACGTGAACGATGATGCGCGTGGACGGGAACGTTAACATTTGGCCAGACTTGTATACACGTGAACGATGATGCGCGTGGACGGGAACGTTAACATTTGGCCAGACTTGTATACACGTGAACGATGATGCGCGTGGACGGGAACGTTAACATTTGGCCAGACTTGTATACACGTGAACGATGATGCGCGTGGACGGGAACGTTAACATTTGGCCAGACTTGTGTACACGTGAACGATGATGCGTGGACGGGAACGTTAACATTTGGCCAGACTTGTATACACGTGAACGATGATGCGCGTGGACGGGAACGTTAACATTTGGCCAGACTTGTGTACACGTGAACGATGATGCGCGTGGACGGGAACGTTAACATTTGGCCAGACTTGTGTACACGTGAACGATGATGCGCGTGGACGGGAACGTTAACATTTGGCCAGACTTGTATACACGTGAACGATGATGCGCGTGGACGGGAACGTTAACATTTGGCCAGACTTGTGTACACGTGAACGATGATGCGCGTGGACGGGAACGTTAACATTTGGCCAGACTTGTATACACGTGAACGATGATGCGCGTGGACGGGAACGTTAACATTTGGCCAGACTTGTGTACACGTGAACGATGATGCGCGTGGACGGGAACGTTAACATTTGGCCAGACTTGTGTACACGTGAACGATGATGCGCGTGGACGGGAACGTTAACATTTGGCCAGACTTGTGTACACGTGAACGATGATGCGCGTGGACGGGAACGTTAACATTTGGCCAGACTTGTGTACACGTGAACGATGATGCGCGTGGACGGGAACGTTAACATTTGGCCAGACTTGTGTACACGTGAACGATGATGCGCGTGGACGGGAACGTTAACATTTGGCCAGACTTGTGTACACGTGAACGATGATGCGCGTGGACGGGAACGTTAACATTTGGCCAGACTTGTGTACACGTGAACGATGGTGCGCGATGATGCACGTGGATGATGTGAAACACCGGAACAGAAATCGCGTGACAGTTCTACGGCGGCGAAACACGTCACTGGCAACAACAACAACGGCAACGGCAACGGCAGCAACAACAACAACAACAACAACGGCAACGGCACCACCACCACCACCACCACCACCACCA